AGTCTTGAACCGTTTCCCTTACCTGTTCGATTGCTTTTTCTTGTTTCTCTTGTTTTTCTTGGGTATATTTGAGAGATTTATTCATTTCCTCTACCTTTTTGTTTGTCATCTCTTTTTCTTTATTGCAGTTTTTCACCTCCTGTTTAAGGTCCTCTATTATTTTCATATAGTTCCGTTTAAAGTCAATTTCTTCTAATTCTTCTGGAGTAGGGTGTTCAATTCTTCTTGTTTCAGGATCCCTGGATTCTGGTGATGTCATGTTGCCTTTCAGGTTGTTGGAAGAATTCTTGCATTGGCGCCTGCCCATCTCTTCCTACAAATGGAGGCAGGAGAGGCCTGGTGTCTTGGTCCAGTCTTTGCTGTGACTGTCTTTCTGGGTGTATCTCTTCATTGTAGGAGCAGGAACCGTCCAGTCCAGATGGAACTCCTCAGCACCGAAACAGGGACATCTGGTAGCCCCAGGACACTGTGGACAAAAGGGCTAATGTGGGGAGCAGGGCAGGGTCGAGTAGAGCACAGGAGACCCTGCAGCACAAGCTGAAGGTGCCCGCACTCCCTTGCGGGGACCTTCAGGCCTCTCTGGCAGGCAGACACTCACCCCTCTGGGTGGGTAGCCTTAGTACAGGAGCAGTAAACTGTTCCTGAGCCAAGAACCTTGCAGACAACAGGGCAGGCTTGGGGGGGGGCTGGGTCGTGTGTAACACAGACACCCCTGCAGCAGGAGCTGGGGGAGGGGGGTTGTGCTCTCTTCCGGGACAGGCGTCCCCGGGATAGCACACACTCACCCATCCAGATGGAACTCCTCAGCACTGAAACAGGGACGCCTGGTAGCCCAAGGACACCACGGACAAAAGGGCTGTATTGTCCATCTTTACATGGCTTATTTTTTTTACTCTATTACTTTTTCTACAAGTTTAATATTTATTTTAATCTTTGCTCCTTTAACCTATGACTGTATGCAGTCTTTTCTGTTATAACTGTCTATACTCTTTTTCCTCTCTCTCAAGCCTACATACCTTTAGTTAATGCTGTGATCCATTTAGAGGTATTTTTCTTTTCATCTTAATCTGTCTTTATTGCATATCTGTAATCCTTGTGTGACCAGGACCACTTCTTAAAATCCTAAGTGGCATGGCTAGGACTAAGGCTGCTTTGCTTTTTGGCTCTGCGCAGTTCAACATGGTGGAGGTCAGCTCCAGCTCTGCAAGCCATGCTCACAGCCCCACTTTCAGGCACACAGCAGGTCTATGTTGCCATTAAGCAAGTTGTAGTATCAGATCAGAAACCCCATTTGAATGCTCCACAGCCTGACCTCCCAAAAGAGTCAAAGCTCTATGTGCTGGCAATCCAGGAAGCCAGCTTCTAAAGAAGCCACATAGCCTTCCTTGCCACTGTTGAGTCAGAAAGACCTCTCTTAAAGGAGCTGTAGTGCTCCTGCTCATGGCCAGCAAATAGAACCCATCCAAAAAAATGCCAGCTACCAAGAAGCTTTGCTTAACTGTTCTTTTGTGTCTAGAATTTCTTCTCAAGCTTTCTCAGGTTTTATGTGGATGTAATTAGCCCCATATTGGCATGCTAAGTTTATTTAGACAGAAAAAGGGAGGTGATTTGGGATTCGCTTCTGTATGCTGTGAATATCATTGATTAATAAAGAAGCTGCTTTGGGCCTATTACAGTGCAGAATAGGGCAAGGCAGGAATTCCAAGCAGATATAGGAGAGAGTCAGGGAGAATCCGTGTAGCCACAGGAGGCGAAAGATGTCCATGCACTGGTAATGATAACCCATGAGCCTCATGGTAAAATATAAAATAATAGAAATGGGTTAATTTAAGATGTAATAACTAACTAGAAATATGCTTAAGCTATTGGTCAAATAATATTGCAGTTAATATACTTTCTGTGTTATTATTTTGGATCTGATCAGCTGGGGAAATGAAAAAGCAGCCTCTGTCTACAATCTGTAGGATGGCGAGTCCTCTGAGGGTATGCCAAAGAGTTGTATAGTTGGATGGTACAAGATGTTTTTAGAAATATTGTTGAGGATTTCCCATACTTATTTCCAGAATGACTTCACAAACATGCATTTCTACCAACATTGAATGAGGGTCTTCTTCCTGTACACCCTCATGAGAATTTGTTGTCCATTGTGTTGTTGATCATAGCTACTCTGACTGGAGTAAAATGATACCTTCAAGTTGTTTTATTTTGCATTTCCCTGTTTGCTCAGGATGATAAACACTTTTTTAGAGATTTTTAAAACCATATTTATTTCTTTTATTGAAAACTATGTTCAGATTCCTAACCTATTTCTTTTAATTATATAGTTTATTTTGAATTGGATCATTTATTATTTCCTTGACTTCATATTTTTTGAGTTCTTTGTACCTTCTAAATATTGATTCTCCTTCAGATGTTTACCTGGCAAAGATTCTTTCAGATTCTGTAGGTTTTCTCTTCATTCAATCAATTATTTCCTTAGCTGTGTAGAAGGGTTTTATTTTTACAACGTACCAAACTTGTCAATTCTCTCCTTAATTCCTTGGTAAATAAAGTCCTGTTCAGAAAATTCTTTCCTCTACCTATATCTTGTAGAGAAAACCCATGTTTTCTTCTATCAGTTTTAGTTTAAAATTTTAGTTTAAAATTTTAGTTTAAAATTGAGGTCTTTGATCCACTTGCATATATAGATCCTATAAAGAGATATAGGTCTAATGTTAGTCTCATGCATGTGGATATCCAGATTACCAGGCACCATTTGTTTAAAATGCTGTTTTTGCCTATTTGTCAGATACAAAAAGACATACTTGGTTCTTGTATTTTGTTCAATTAGTATACATGTTTGCTTTTGTGGTGGTGCCATATTGGTTTTATTATTTTATATCTTGAAGTCTGAAATGGCAATCACTCCAGTATTATTATTTTTTTTACTGTGATGATTTTTTTATGACAACTTATGCTGGAAAGGTTGTGGGGTAAAGGGAACACTCCTCTATTTCTGGTGGGAATGCAAGCTGTTACAGCTCCTTTGGATGTCAGTGTGGTGATTTCTCAGAAAATTAGGAAACAACCTTCCTCAAGGCCCAGTAATACCACTTTTGGGTATATACCCAAAGGATGCTCAATTGTGCCACAAAGACAAGAGCAGCATTGTTTGTCATAGCCCAAAACTGGAAACAACCTAAATGCCCCTCTACCGAAGAATGGATAAGGAAAATGTGGTACATTTACACACTGCTTTGGGTTTTTCTCCATTTAGGACAACGTGACCGTGGGTTTGTCATATACAGCCTTTATTATGTTGAGGAGCACTGTTACAGGAGTGGGTTGCTTGTTTGTCCAGGCCGCCCAGTTAGCTTACATCCAAAATAACAACACAGAAATTGTATTAATTAAAACACTGCTTGGCCAATTAGCTCTAGCTTCTTATTGGCTAACTCTTACATTAAATTAACCCATTTCATTAATCTGTATATTGCCATGTGGCAGTGGCTTACCAGGAAGAGGATCCACGTGGTGACTCCTTCTCCCAGCATTCTGCCTAGCTTTCCCTGCCTATCTAAGTTCTGCCCTATCAAGGCCAAAGCAGTTTCTTTATTCATTAGCCAATGAAAGCAACACACAAACAGAAGGACCTCCCACACCAGAGTACAACTTCCACGTCTACTTCTCCAGGACTTTTTATCATGAAGCATGTCAGATTTTTTCAACGGCGGTTTTTACATCTCTTGTCATAATCATATGCTTTTCTCAAGGTATTTGTTTGATTTACTATACTTATTGCCTTATGTATATTGAACCAATACTGCATTTCCAGGATTAAGCCAACTTTATCATGGAGAATGCTTTTGTAATATGTGTTTTTATTCAGTGTGCTAATACCTTACTGGGGATCTTTGTATCTATGTTTGTAAGGAGTATCTGTCTATAGTTTTGTTGTATATTTACCTGGCATGGATATTAGAAAAATACCAGCTTTAAAGAAAGAGTTTGGGAGTCCTCCTTTAGTTATTGTTGTTGTTTCTTTGTTGTTTCTAGACAGGGTTTCTCTGTGTAACTGCCCCAACTGTCCTAGAACTTGCTCTTTAAACCACACTGGCCTTGAACTCACAGAGATCTTTCAGCCTCTGCTTCCCAAGAGGTGGTATGCACCAATACCACCTGGCTTTAATTTGTATTTTTAAGAAGAAAACCATTATTTTGTTGCTAGGACACTGAGGTATCTCCAAGTCTGATGATTTGCTGATAGAAGAGCGGACACTGGAATCCTTTTTAAACAGCCAGCCTTCTCCATCCCCATCCATGATGCTTTAATTGGCTGTTCCCAAGCTCAATGTCTCCTTAAAGCTGGAGTTGGAGCTTTCCATGCCAAGATATGTTACTAAATATCCAATGCAAGGTGTTTTATTCACATGTATTCTAGCTAGAAACACAAAAAAGCACAAATATTTTAATTACTAGCATAGGACATTTTGGTATACATATTATGAGGAATATTATGTAAAATTTATACTTATAAAGGATTTTGTTTTTCTAAGTTCATAATACATGTTAGGAGGAATATGTGATTGATTTAATTTTCCTAACTTTTATAGGAACACAATTAAGGAAATAGCCTATTTCCTTGTATCATCAGTTGCCTTCAGGTATGTGAGGGGTGAGGGTCTTGAAATGGAAGTAAATATTTTTGACATTTATGTTTAAAAAATTAATAAAAAGGGACCTGAAAAAATAAGAGAGAACAAAATAAAAGAATTTTTGCATCTATGTGTTGCTAATTAGTTCATGTATCCACATTTAATGTAATCTAATCTATCTTGCAAGTTTAGTTAAGACTAAGCAGTATGAAGTACAATGGAATAACCTTTGTTCAAATGTAAATAGTTACATACTAGTTTTTGTCTGATTATAAATGTACAAATAGGAAAGAATACAATTTTAAATTCTGTAATTATAAGCTAAATGTTATGTAAATGCTTTATACACCCCAAATTACTCAATTACAGAAATATTTTATTATTTAATTATTTGATACATGATTACAAAGATTTATGCAATGTAATCATTTTCTTTAAAATTAATTTTGTATGTGTATGGTGTTCTTATTTGTACAGATGTGTGAGTACAGATGTATGTGTATCCACATCTCAACATTGGGTATCTTCTTCAATGTCTTGTCATCTTATTGTTTTGTAAATATGGTCTCTCATTATACATGTTGCTCACTTAGGCTATGCTGACTGGCCAATGATTTCCCAAGATTCTCCTGTCTCTACCTGCCTAGGAATGAGATTACAGGAGCTGCACTGCCCTGTACCCTACTTTTGCATAGACGCTGTGGATGGAACTGGGGAATTCAAGCATAAGTGGCAGGTGTTTTACTACTGAACTATTTTGCCAACTCCCAAGTTAGCAATATTTTAATTGTATTGGTAGGTTTTAAAAAGTATACTTTAAAGTTGAGTTGATTCATTTTTGTAATTTAGGAAAATAATCATCTTATATGTTTTTTGAGACTGCAAGGAAAAGTCTGGGACAGTTAAGAGTTGAATCAATCATTCAATATTTATGAAATTGAATTCTTTCTCATGTATCTGCTCTGTGTGCAAGATCCATGTGGGAACCCGTGCATATGTAATCATGTATTTACCGGTGAAAGTGTGTTTTAAAGGGAATATGTTATTCATGCTTTCACTTCTTTTTGTTGCTAAAGTTAAACTTATTTGGACTAATGTGTTTTCATTTATTATGAGAAATTTGTAAAAAGTCCTTATAAATTCTGTGCATTTAAAGGGTTTACACTGAGAAGCTTATGACTTTAATTTAGATTTGTTGTTCTAGCTTAGAGTGTTCAACTGACATCCCTGCTGTAGGAAGTGTGGAGGGGCTTGGTGCAGATTTTAATCACTGCTTTTATTGTGTGAAAACTGAACATTTTCTTAAGACTCTAAAGCAGCATTGTTCTTTCTGTAACAGGACAGTTTAGCTCTAAATAAGAATTTTTGGGTGCATCTGAGCATTGACTTTAATATTGTGTCACTATGGAGGCAGAACCTTCACTCTCTCTGTTTGTTTTAGAATATTTGAAATTATGCTGATCTTTCTGGACATATTTCTTGTGGCTATAGATCTACATCTTAATAAAAACATATTTTATATTCCTCTGGAATATAGTTCAGTTTCTTTTGCTATTGCTTTGTTTTTCCTTGTGGATGTTCTTCTTCGAGTATATATAGAAGGGTAAGTGTGATTTTACTTATTTTTTTGAAGCATAAAGACAATTTTTGCAATGATATAAGAAGTATCCTGTAAGAATTGTCATGTCAGCTCAACAAAATGGGTTCTCCATCAAAGTGATTCTCCTCATAGGTTTGTTCCACAGAAAAGCAATAAGCTCGAGTCAGCTTTATGTAGAGCAGCTTTGTCGGTGCTGTCATTGTACCTCTGTTCTACAACAATGCCCTGCAGATGATTTTCTCAATTGCGTCTCTACATTCATGAATAAAAGGAACATGTATGTGATTGTCTTAGTTAGGGTTTTTGTTGTTGTGAAGAGACACCATGACCACAGTAACTCTTATAAAGAAAATGTTTAATTGGAGTGGCTTACTTAGTTTCAGAGGTTCAGTCCATTATCATCATGTTGGTGAACATGGCAGCATGCAGGCAGACATGGTGCTGGCTATATCTTGGCTTGTAGGTAACAGGAAGTTGACTGAAACAATGGGAAATGTCCCGAGCATAGGAATTCTCAAAGCCTGCCCCCACAGTGACATACTTCCTTCAACAAGGTCATACCTACTCCTATAAAGCCATATCCCCTAATAGTGCCACTACCTATGAGGTTATGGGAATCAAATTACATTTAAACTACCACATTTCAATCCCTGGCATCCATAAAATTGTAACAATTTCATAATGCAAAATTCATTTAGTCTAACTTACCATAGTCTGTCACAGTCTCAACAATGTTTAAAAGTCCAAAGTTCAAAGTCTCCTCTAAGATTCATTCAATCTCTTAACTGTAATCACTTATAAAACTAAAATTAAAAATGATCACATACTTGCAGCAGGATATGCATAATGGCACAGGATATGCATTATCATCCCCAAATATAGGGAAGGTAGCATACTGAGGAAATGCTGGACCAAAGCAAGAAAGAAAACAAGCAGGAAAAATTCCAAATTCTGCATCTTCATGTCTGATGTCAAAATGATCTTCAGATCCCCAACTCCATCCAGCTTTGTTGACTGCAGCACACTTCTTTCTCTTGGGCTGGTTCCACTCCCTGACAGCAGCTCCACACAACTCTCGCATCTCCAACATCTTGGGGTCTCCAGGGAAATCCAGGCTTCAACTTCATAGCTTCATAAAATGGCCTCTCTAGGTCTCCATTCAGTGACAATGTTAAAACTTGCCTGGCCTCAATGGTTTTCATCGGGTGTGGCGGCACATTACGAAACCCATTTCTTCTACCCTTAACTCTAAAGTTAGTACCACATGGTGGAAGCTGACAAGTTTTTCTGCTTGCTAGGCCTGGAACATAGCTTCCTCATTCAATTACATTTTTACCAGCTTTCTGTTCTTCACTGCCTAAGATTGGCTGTCCTGAAACTGGATCTCTAGATCAGCCAGCCTCTGCCTTCCCAGTGCTGAGAATAAAGGCTTGTCCCACCACTCCTGGCTCTAAACTTTTTTCTAGTTCCTTTTTACAAGTTGAAAATTCAGCTCGGTGGGATCTTGCCCTGAGGTCATCACTCTGTTTATGGCATTTCTTAATCCATTTATCTTTAAATTTATTTTTATTTTATTTGCATTGGTGCTTTGCCTGCATGTATGTCTATCTAAGAGTGTCAGATCTTGGAGTTACAGACAGCTGTTAACTGCCATGTGGGTGGTAGGAATTGAACCTGGGTCCTCTGGAAGAGCAGTCAGTACTCTTAACCACAGAGCCATCTCTCCAGCCATTTATCTTGATTGTACTTTCTAATGGTCTTTCTCTCCTCAAAATTTACATTTTGTAAACTACCCTGATCAGCTTGCTCCTTTTAATTATAAAACTTTATTAGAGTTACCACAAATAACCACGTAACAGTGTCTATACCAGGTTGAGATTTTGAGATTTCTTTGGCCAAAGGAATTAATCCAAACCACTTCACTTTAGCTTCAGGCAGACTCTTCAGACAAAGGCAAAAGTCAGCCACTTTCTTCACTGAAGTATCACAAGACCAGTCTAGGCCACATATAAACATTCTTCTCCTCTGAAACTTCTTGATCACCACAGTTCATCAAATCATGTTCAGAAACACTGTCTTCCATGATCGTATGGTCTATTAAGCAGAGCTTAAAGCATTCCATTGCTTTCCTAACCCAAACTCCCAAAGTCCATATTTTTCTAAACAAAACACGGTCAGTCCTATTCCCGCAATATCCCAGTCTCTTGTATCAACTTCTATCTCAGGGTTTATTGCTGTGAGACACTATGACAGCAGTAACTCTTATAAAGACAGCATTTGATTTGGGTGGCTCAGTTTCAGCTTCAGATGTTCAGTCCACTATCATCATTGTTGGGAGCCTGGCAGCATGCAGGCAGATGTAGTACTGGCTGCATCTTGGCTTGTAGGCAGTAGGAAGTCGATTGCAACACTGGGCAGTTTCCTGAGGATAGAAAACCTCAAAACCTGCAACTACAGTGACTGTTTCCTTCAACAAAGCCACACTTCCTTCAACAAGGCCACACCCACTCCAACAAAACCACACTTCCTTCAACAGGGCTACACCCACTCCAACAAAGCCACACTTCCTTCAACAGGGCTACACCCACTCCAACAAAGCCACACTTCCTACTGGTGTCACTCCCTGAGGTTATAGGGGCCAAGCACATTCAAACTACTACAATATTTATATTGATTGACTTGAATTCCAAATAAAATATGATGACACACTAAAGAATAAGTCACATGGCTGGGCTGTGGTGATGCAGGCCTTTGATTCCAGCCCTTGGGAGGCAGAGACAGGCTCCAAAGCTACACAGAGAAACCCTCTCTCAAAAAACAAAAACAGAACAAAAAGAATACATCACAAATAATTCATATTTCAACATAAATAAAAATGTCAATTATATTACAATGCAGAAGAGTTCAGAAGCAAATTCTTTCCATCAACAAAATCACAGTAAAACAGACCATGGTTTTCTAAGCAGGTGGACGGATTAGCCATACTTTGTGGTTATATTGCTCTGGGAGTCAGGGACTAGATTCTCTAGTTTCATTTTATTCTCAGGTCGTCTCAGAGTGCAATTTCTCTCATTTCCTAAGAGGATTTTTATCCTCATGTACTTTTTTGAGCTAAGTATAGTTCTCCACTGCTCAGTTTCCCAGAGTCTGAGAAAAAGGGCTCTCACTATTTTCATCATTGCTAAGGTGTTTATGCTTCTGTAAATAATCCCTCACTGATAGTCCTCCAAGGAACCCTATGGAACTCAGACCTCAAAACAGACACATAAACAAAACTCATCTGAAAGGACAGAACCTCAATTCAGAAATGCATCCATAAGATGCATAGGGCATTTTCTCAACTAGTGATTGTGGTTCTGAGTTCTATAGGAGAGAAGGCTGAGCAAGCCAAGGGGAGCACGCCAATAAGCAGCTACCCTCCATGACCTCTGCATCAGCTCCTGCATCCAGGTTCCTGCTCTGCTTGAATATTTGTCCTGTTTTCCTTTAGTGATAAACATCAGTGTGGAAGTGTAAGTCAAATAAACCCTTCTTCCCCAACTTATGTTTTGGTCATATATTTCATTGCAGCAATATAAATCATAACTAAGACAATTGAAAAACACCCATCTAAAAATAGATGCTATCTCAAAATCAGAAGAAATTTTCTCTAGAATACCAGTAATCACATATGAAGAAAGGAAGTCTCTTTTTGACCTGGACAGACTATATTTGTTCATTGAAACACCAGGATTCATACAAAGCCAGATCCTGAGTTTGAAATAATGGAACCCTCTCCTTATATACGTTTCTTTTATACTTTCTCATTCCCAGTTTCTCTATACTCCTTATTCAGCTTCATCTGCTCACCAGCAATGCATATTGTCTATACTCTACCTACAAAGGAGAAGGAAGTTCTCGCCTCTTGCTCAGTGGTTTACTTCTGTCTCTTATCAATTATGAATTGCTATCTTGACACTATAGATAGATGATAGATAGATAGATAGATAGATAGATAGATAGATAGATGATAGATAGACAGGTGATAGATAATAAACAGATGATAGAGACGTGATAGATGAGGGGGGGATAGATGCTTTACCACTTGAAAACTCTATACTGATGTATGTTTCCACTACTTCAGTAGTTTTGATAATACATTTTGAACAGATTAAGACAGGACTCTTTTTATTTTGGTGAATTAACAAGTTTATTGCAGTTACATACAGAAGCATGAACAGCTTGGCCACCTCTACCCCATCATAGGTGGTAACTCTCAAAATTTATTGACCAGTCTCAGCTCCAGCCAGCGTACACACCCAGAAGACACTTGTGCTTGGAACATAATTATATGCAGGTGACAGAGTGGGGACCAGGAGCCAGTAAGTGGTTAGAATCCCAGGACTACTGATAGGGCTGAAGACAGAGTTCCTCATGGAGATGAGTCAGATAACTTTCCCATCTCTCTGCTCCAGGAGACAACATTACTTCTCTGACTTACTGAACACCCTCGACGCCGTTGTTACTGGTGTGACTCTGCTCATCGCCATGGCTGTCATGTTCTATGAGAAGAAGTTTCTTAGAGATGTCCCAATGTATGAAACATATTGTTTACCTCTCAAAACTACTACTTTTATGTTTTTTGAGTTGTTTGCTTCCTTTGATTTGTTGCATTTCCCATGGTTTTATTTACTATTTTGACTGAACTCTCTCTTGACTGTTCCAGATAAGTCGTCTACAAATAAGTGTTCGTATAAATTTCCATGTACTTTGAAATTAAACATGTTGGTATTTAGGGGTCTGTTGAGGATATACACACCAACAATCTTTAACTGAATAAAAAATACAAAGGGGAAAAACTAGACTTGACTCCTCTTATATCAACTTTAACTTCAAAACGTAATGTAATTTCATAAATTCCCATTTTCGCTTCAATAACAAATACCTTAGATATAAAGTATTGCAGTCCGGGGATTTCCCTGTAACCAAGAGATTATTTAACATGTATATAATTTGAGTGACTCCAGTTAATATCTCTAAAGTATAACAAGCATAGCAAGAAACCAGGAGGTAATGTGGGCAGCCACAGACAGGAAGTTTTGCAGGGCAGTTGTACTAGGAATGAGACGACTCTGGCAAAGTCCGAATTGTTAGGGTCTATTAGAAGGGTTCTCTTCTTTCCCTTCCCTCATGGTCCCCAACTTTCCCCCTCCTTTTTTCTTTTCTCTCCCACTTACCCCCTCTTTTTTTACTGTGGCAATGTAGAACAGTAAATGTGTGTGTAAAGATCACAGGGGCAGTTTTAATCATTTGTTAAATAACTGGTTTCTTTCTGTACCCCAACATCCTAGGACTTCAATCTAGGATTCAACTAAATGTGTTGTATATTGGAAGTAACCTGAGCAACCTCTCAGTTGACACCGTAATCAATGAATTAGGGGCTCTAGAACCTGTTACCCTATGCTTTATTTTTTATCGTTTTTAAAAACACTTGTTCTTTTTTATCTTATTTGTTTGGGTGTTTTGCATGCATAAATATATGTGTGTGTGTGTGTGTGTGTGTGTGTGTGTGTGTGTGTGTGTGTGTGCACCATACATCATCAGTGCCTACAGAGACCAGAGAAGAGAACTCGATCCCCTGGAACTGGAATTGCAGATGGTTGTGAGCTGTCGCCTGGGTGCTGGGAACTAGACATGTCCTCTGCAAGAGTAAGTGCTCTTAACTGCAGAGCCACCCCTTCACTCCATGCCCCATGCTTTGAAGAACTTTACAGAGCTCTTCATGGTGCCTTGTTCACATGGCTTCAAATTAAATACCCAGGGCTGGAGAGATGGCTCAGCAGTTAAGAGCATTGCCTGCTCTTCCAAAGGTCCTGAGTTCAATTCCTGGCATCCACATGGTGGCTCACAACCATCTGTAATGGGGTCTGGTGCCCTCTTCTGGCCTGCAGACATACACACAGACAGAATATTGTATACATAATAAATAAATAAATATTTAATAAAAAAAACAAATTAAATACCCAGTTTTTAGAGCAGTAGCTCTCTACCTTGGTGTTTACATGGTAGGAGAAACAACAGTGAGCTTATGTGGCTAATATTTGAGTCTATTTTCTGGTGTGATTCTTTATTTACTGATATTAATATCACAGGCAGTGTTTTGATGAGCACTCACAGAACAGGGGGAAGAAAGAAAAATGGTGTTAAACCACAAATTCTGAGTTTGTCTTTTCTAAACTTAACATTATTGACATTTTAGGTCAAATAATTCTGGCAAAGGATGTCATTCATGATGAAACATTTATTAGGGAACCTATCCCATATCTGCTTAATATAGTAGCAACACACCCACATAATATGACAATCAAAAGTGTCTCTAGACAATGACAATTATCTTCTACATGGGAGTAAAAGAACGCTGCCCTGGCCAAGGACCACTGTTCCAAACTGAAAACAGAACTAGAAGCATGCCTCAGTATAGAGCAACTTGCCAAGCATGCACAGGGCCATGGCCTTGGCCCGCAGCACCAGCAAAAATGAATGAATGAGTGTTAAACTTAACACACAGTAACCAAATATTCTGGTTTTTTCCAGCAAAAAAAATGAGTACTTAAATTTTTATGTATAAATTTACTTAGATTGGGAATTGTATTTCGACCGCTGCGGCTTTTTATTCTGATACGAATTTTGCAACTGGCTCATCAAAAAAGAGACCTTGAAAAGTTGCTGAGGCGGCTGGTGAGTGGCAGCACACATTTGTTCTGAGTTTCAGGTGGTAGATTTGTATATTTTGTTATTTTTTTCTGATGATCTATGTTTAAAACTTTATGACTTTCCAATTCAGGTTTCAGGAAACAAAAGACGATACATGAAGGATGGGTTTGACCTGGACCTCACTTATGTTACTGGTTTGTGAAATCTACCTGTTCATATTGTTTATAAAAATTGGGCATTTTGTGTGTGACTAGTAGATGCTGCATTTTCTTTTGATTACTGCAATGTTATTTCAAAGGATTCTTTATCTGGGAGCACACATGCCATTGTGGCAGTGTGACCATGGTAATGGGAATATCTACTTATGTCACTTAAAACCAGTACAGGAGGTGGGATGGGTTATAGTCTTAGTAGGCTTTTATTTATTCAGCTCAGGTAGTTAACCATGGTTCCAAGGACCCCAGGAGAATTTCCAGTCTCCTTACAACTCCAGAAACTGAGGTTTCTACTCTGTTGTTCTCAGATTTCCTGAGACACATGCCTGGAAAGTTCTCTGGAAGTTACTGCACTTACTGGAGTTCAAGCTGTCTTCTTTGGTTTGTTAAAGAAATTTTACTGATACTGAGGAAGCTTCAGACTTAGCCCTATAGAAATCTGTGGTCGATAGATGAACCAATTGAGTCTTAGGATCACTGTGCCCATTTAATGGTTATTATTATATCGAGTAATTTAATATAGTAAATCATTCTGATTATTCAGAGAACGTGTTATTATTCTATTCCAAATGTTGTCTTTATTTTTTCTTTTTAAAAAAAGGAGTTTTGCTATATGTAGTTGAAATTTTTGTATGTTTTCTCTTCTCTATTATGATACTCATCATAGCAATTACTTTGACTTGCAGAGCGTATTATTGCCATGTCATTTCCGTCATCTGGATGGCAGTCTTTCTATAGAAATCCAATTAAGGTAAGGCTGCCTTAGCCAGTGCTCACTGCTCAATACTAACCATGTTGATATACTTCTAAATGCTATTCTTTAAGTCAAAACTCTGACTGATTGGCATCAATTTGCTTTTTCTATTTATAAACTATTCTAAAATTTTACTGGCTTGAAAGCGCGATTTTGTGTATTGTTGGTTGTGAGCCTTTAATGGCTGAGCCGTCTCTCCAGCCCTAACCAGTATTTCTTAAACTCATGATACTGTGGCTTAAGAGTTAAGCTGGGTGGTTCTAGTGAACCAAGATGGAACTGATTTTCTCAGCGGGAAACTCTTGCATCTGTGAGAAACTACTGAGCCATCTGAGATTTACCTGTCCTCAATAGCTTAGCTAGGTCTCCCCCCCCCCTCTATATATATTGTTCTTAAAATAAGATTTTTCTGATCAACACAAGCAGGCCAAAGTTCAGCTTTTTTTCACATAAAGGCAATGGCAGAGGTTACAAAAACAGCAGTCAAAAGAGACTGCAAACCCACTTAGGACACATGACCAAGCCTAGTGTGATATGGTTGCCTCTGCCATTCTATTAAAACAAGTAAATTACAAAGCCAGACTTGATGAAAGGAATAGAAAATAAGTTGTATCTCTTGATGGGAGGATCTGAAAAGAATTGTGATTATTTTGTTAGGAAGAAATAAAAAATGATATAAATAAAATATATATTCTTTAAAAAATCATTAGCTAATTTATCCTTTGAGAATTTCATATATGTATGCAATGTATTTTGATTGTCTAACCCCACTTCCCCCTCTAAGCCTCCCAGAATTCCTGCCAGCTCATGCCCCTCCCAACTTCGTGTCCTCTTCTTTTCCATATTTTATAACCCACCACATCCTGTCCGTTCTCCTTATTTGTACATGGTGTGTGGCCATGCACTAGAGCATGTGCAAAGGATCAGAAGCTACACCCTCAAAACTGACTCTCCCCAAGCAGTCACTAACTTCCGGGGTTCCTCAGCTATCAGGGAAGCCCACTGCGCTCCACCCCCATGCTGGTGTTGACTGGCTTGACGTGACGCTGACAGCCACGGCTAGTATGAACTAAGACATCATGTCCCGAATAAAAGCTTTTCACGGCTCCTCTGCATTCCCAACTCTTCCTTTCTTTATCTTTTTATTTATTGATTGATTGATTTTTCCATTAAAAGAATTTACACTTCTTCCCCTCCTCCCATTCCCCTCCCGCTCCCACACTCACCCTCCTCCTTCCCCCTCCCTGCTTGAGAGAGAGCAGGAAACCCTGCCCTGTGGGAAGTCCAAGGCCCTCCCCCATACATCCAGGCCTCAGAAGCTGTGCGTCCTTATAGACTAGGGTCCCAAAAGACCAGAACATGCAGTAAAAACAGGTCCCAGTGCCTTTATCAATCAATGGCTTCTCAGTCAGCCCCATTGTCAGCCACTTTCAGAGAGTCCAGTTTGGTCACATGCTCGTTCAGACCCAGTACCCCTGGATTTCATGAGCTCCCATTAGAACAGGCACACTGTGTCAGTGGATGGACAAACCCCTCGTGGTCCTGACTTCCTTGCTCGTCTTCTCCCTCCTTGTGCCTTTCAACTGGACCTTGGGAGCTCAGTCCAGTGCTCCAATGTGGGTCTCTGTCTCTATCCCCATCCATTGTCGGGCAAAGGTTCTATGGTGATATGCAAGATATTCATCAGTGTGATAGTGGGGCAAGGCCAGTTCAGGCACCTTCTGCTCTGATGCCCAATGACCTAGCTGGGGACATCCCTATAGACACCTGGGATCCCCTCTAGAGCCAAGTCTCTTGCCAGTCCTAAAATGGATCCCTTAATGTAGATATCTTCTTCCCTGCTCCTATATCTGCCCTTCCTCCATCTCAACCATCCCACTCCCCCAAGCTCTCTCCAGTCTTTCCCTTCTCCCTTCCCTCTCCCCCTCCCCTTCCATCAACCTCATCCCCACCTCTACACCCACACCCATGCTCCCACCTTTTGCCCAGCGATCTTGTTTTGCTTCCAATTTCCAGGAGGATCTATATATGTTTTTCTTTGGGTCCACTTTGTTATTTGGCTTCTCTGGGCTTGTCAACTATAGGCTTAATGTCCTTTGTTCATGGCTAGAGTCCACTAGTGAGTGAGTACATACCATATTCATCTTTTTGGGTCTGGGATATCTCATATATATAGTGTTTTCTATTTCCATCCATTTGCATGCAAAATTCAAGATGTCATTGTTTTTTACCACTGAGTATATACTCCACACTTTATCCATTCTTCCATTGAGGGGCATCTAGGTTGTTTCCAGGTTCTGGCTATCCCATGCTCTTGGATAGGTAGGAACAACATAGTAAATTCTATGGCAATTCTACCAAAGGCAATCTATAAATTCAACGCAATCCCCATCAAAATCCCAACAAAATTCTTCACAGACTTTGAGAGAACAATAATCAACTTTATATGGAAAAACAAAAAACCCGGGATAGCCAAAACAATTCTATATAATAAAGAAGTACCTCTGGAGGCATTACCATCCCTGACTTCAAACTCTATTACAGAGCTACAGTAATGAAAACAGCTTGGTATTGGCATAAAAACAGAGAGGTTGACCAATAGAATCAAATTGAAGAACTGGATATTAATCCACAATCCTATGAACACCTGATTTTCAACAAAGGAGCTAAAATTATACAATGGAAGAAAGAAAGCATCTTCAACAAATGGTGCTGGCAAAACTGGATGTCAACTTGTAGAAGAATGAAAATAAACCCATATCTATCACATGCATGAAACTCAAGTCCAAATGGATTAAAGACCTCAATATAAATCTGACCACACTGAACCTGATAGAAGAGAAAGTGGGAAGTAGTCTACAACACATGGGCACAGGAGACAACTTCCTACATATAACCCCAGTAGCACAGACAATAAGGGGAACATTGAATAAATGGGACCTCCTAAAACTGAGAAGCTTCTATAATGCAAAGGACACTGTCATTAAGACAAAAAGGCATCCTACTGAATGGGAGAAGATCTTCACCAACCCCACAACAGACAAAGGTCTGATGTCCAAAATATATAAAGAACTCAAGAAACTAGACTTTAAAACTTTAATTAACCCAATTAAAAAATTGAGTACTGAACTTAACAGAGAATACTCAACAGAAGAAGTTCAAATGGCCAAAAGATACTGAAGGTCATGTTCAACTTCCTTAGCTATCAGGGAAATGAAAATCCAAACAACTTTGAGATACCATCTTACACCTGTCAGAATGGCTAACATCAAAAACACCAATGATAGCCTTTGATGGAGAGGTTGTGGAGTAAGGTGAACACTCATCCATTGCTGGTGGGAATGCAATCTTGTGCAACCACTATGGAAAGCAGTGTGGCGATTTCTCAGGAAAATAGGAACAACCTACCCCTGGACCCAGCAATACCACTCTTGGGAATATACCCAAGAGATGCCCTATCACACTACAAAAGATTTGTTCATCTATGTTCATAGCAGCATGATTTGTAATAGCGAGAACCTCCAACTCTTTCTTTCTGTCCTCCCTTCCATGTTGTTTCCTGAGGTGTGTGTGTTTGTGTGTCTGTGTCTGTGTGTCAGGAGGGATCATACAGATGTCCCATTCAGGGATGAGAATTGCAGTCACTTATTTTCAACACTCTGACCAGTTATGAGTCATTGCTGATAAAGATGGAAAGCAACACAAATCTTTGTATATAAATATAAATATTTAGAAGGCAGTTTGACAACATTAATTTGGCAAAATAATAGTAGGTTTCCCAGTTGGACCTGTTTCCTTCCTAACCATGAGCTTTTGCCCAGCTTTACAGTACTAGGCATGATTAACCTACTGTAGAGTAGGCCTCAAATCCCACAAAAATTAAATGATTGCCCCGTAACAGTCAACACTCCTGTTGTACACTTTGCCTAGTAGGTCAACATTATACTATGCAGGATCCAGTGTTGAATAATATCATCGATGTCTTTTATCCCACAGCAATGCTTTGTTTCCCACATCTATTAAAGCTAGCCCTCAGGGGGAAGATTCCTAGTCAGTTTCAAATTTATTTCTCTGTGTCTTTCAACCAACATGTGTGCTGTTTTCAGCAATGAATCGCATCATCTAGTTGTAATGGGTAACCAAGAGCAAAAGCAATACCCACATTATGTTGTTTTGTATTGGAGGGGGTCTGTTGGGTCTTCATGACCATTAACTCATAAGGAAGTCTCCTGTGTTTGGGGAGAAGATTGTCATTTAATGGCCTCTGTTTTCTGAGATGAATATTGTCCACCCATGTAGGTTAACTTCATTCGAGCTCCTTTAAAATGTGTATTTATATATTGAGTTTGCAAATTATAGTGAAGAAATATTGCTTTGGACATCTTTCAATGACTAAATCAATTTGATCTATGCAAATGTTCAATGTTACTGTTAGTGTTTCTATTGCCATGAACTCAGGGGAAAAGAGGATGATCCACCATATAGGTAAATCAGGGCAGGAACTCAAGGCAGGAACCTGGAGGCAAAAGTTGATGCAGAGTCCACAAAGGAGGGCTGCTTACTGGCTTGCTCTTGAAGGCTTGCTCAGCTTACGTTTTTTTATACCGCAGGATCACCTGAACAGAGATGGCCCCACCCACAGTAGACTGAGCCTTCCTATATGAATCACTGTGTAAGAGCATGCACCACACACTCACCCACAGGCCTGACTGGGGCGTTTTCTTAATGAAGTCTCCTCTTTCCAAGTGAGTCTAATCTAGCTGTGTCTAGCTGACATAAACTAGCCAGCACAGCTAGGGTCTATGAATTTCCAACTGAAAGTAATTGCTTAAAAAGTTACCTTATATGTATGTATATTAGTGTCTAATTTACCTCAATAAAAGTTTAATTTCACAAATATACATACATGTACATATATACAGATTACATATGTGTGTAATTATACTTTTATTGATATATATGCATATGTATCTCAAAGTGCAGTCTTGTGTTACTTA